GAAATCCATACAAAAGTTCTCTCTGAGATAAGAACTTTGTCTTTCTCAGTGTTCAACATGTCTAATTATTGGTTGTAAATACAAAAAGGGGAGGCAGCACAAAGGGCAGACTGTAGTCGGACCTCTGAGAATCAGCGTAAGAGGAAGTGATTCGATCTGGACCTTTTCCTGTGGGACCTGAGGAACGCAGTGATGCTTAAAAAGGACGTGAGGAAGAAAAACTCAAAAGTTTAATGTGTATTATTTTGTGCAAATGCATTTCATGTTGTAAACAGTGATTATTGTTGTGTTTTTTGTTTACATCATCAGTTATTACTTGTATTCCAGCTTTAACTTTTAATTTATACTTTACACTGTAAAACTCTCTCAGTTCCCGGGTTGGAAAACGTCCAAGCTGTTCAGTTTTAGGCACCAGTGAATGCTGGCTGGAGATCAAATCAGCTTCTGTAACCTGAAGAGCAGAGCTACGGCACAAAGGACGAGGCTGAGCATCAAGGTCACTGTGAAGGTTGGAGCCACAGACGCTCGATTATTATCAGTGGTGTGGAAAACAGAGTCTCACACGTTGAATCTGAACCACGGCGGCTGCAGCGAGGGCGTGGAACTTCCTGGGATTGAAAACATGGAGGCGTTCTTTCCAGATGGGTGTACACGCACTTTCCATATGTTTTATTAAAGTTTAATGTCTTCACAAATGTTAGAAAAATTAAATAAATAAAAACAATTTAGCTTTACTAAATAAAAAATCCTATGTCAACACAGGACATTTAATGACCCCTGCATTTTACTCTTTGTTTATTTAAGAGTAGCGGTAACTGTTTCCTTAGGTTTCCACTATTAATTTACAACAACAACAAAAAACTAGAATACATTTTATATCCTTGATTATTGTTCAACAATCTGTCAACAAGCAAATATTTTGATTAAATTACTGCACGTTAAAGACATTTTAAACTATATATGGGAAAATGAATTTAAATGTTCCCATGAGTTGAATTTTACGAGTTAATTCATCTTTTCCTTTGTTCTTTTCGCTAAACAAAGTTATTTAAATCAATTCTGTGCTAATAAAAGTTATACAAGACAAATGTGACTGTTATCAAGTGATGGTCCATATGGAAAACACAGCTGAAGAAACAGGATTGTATTTTATTTGCAAACATATATAAGAAAGATTAAATTTCACTTGAGAAATTGTAACATCAATACTAATTTTGTAAACCGCATGCACTCCTGGATGTTAGCTTATTTGAGTAAAAACTGTCCAACACTGTTCTTTATAAAAAAAAATGTAATATATCTTGTCTGATTGGCTAAAAATAAACATCTTGTAATATATATTTTTTTCTTTATGTGTTATTTTTTTCTCATTTTTATCACCCAATAACATCTAGTTAGCTTGATATGCTAACATGTGAAGCATAGACATAATGTAAAATAGAATAAGTTGATGTGAAGCGTTGACAGCTAGTTGCTAACTTGTGAAGCTATAATTGCTAGTTAGCGTAATATGCTAATTGGTGAAGCTGTTACCATAGATACGTATATATCCAGATATATGTCTATGGCTGTGACAGCTAGTTAGCATGATATGCTAATATATTAAGTCATTAGCTGAATATGCTAACATGTAAAACATATTTATATATATATATATATATATATATATATATATATATATATATATATATATATATTAACGGTCTTTAAAGTTTGATTATGCTTCACCAGTTTTGTCCTCCCTTCACCGGCTCCCTGTACGTATCAGAATAGATTTTAAAATTCTCCTGTTGACCTTTAAGTGCATTAATGGCCTTGCACCCTCGTATCTCTCTGACCTACTTCAACCATGTGTTCCTGTCGGGCGATGAGATCATCGGATCAGCTGCTTTGATTGTACTAAAAACCAGGTTGAAGCTCAGAGATCAGGTTTTTTCAGTCGCGGGTCCTTGGAACAACCTGCCCCCCCCCCCCCCCCAACATCAGACAGGCCACTTCACTTCCTGTTTTTACATCTCTGCTAAATACTCATCTGTTTTCTCTGATGTTTAACACAGTGTGATTTGATTTAGTATTTTATTGTTTTGTGTTTTTATGTTTTGCTTTTGAGGCTTTTAATTTAATTTTTCATTAAATTACTGCCATTGATTTTTATTGTTAAGCACTTTGGTAACAGCCGCTGTTTTAAAACGTGCTTCATAAATAAATTTGACTTCACTTAAAGCTGTGCAGCTTGGTAGTCACATATAATCAACTGAATTGATGGATGCATCTTTTTTAAATATTTTTTGTAAATTTATATTTTTCTGTAAAAATGTCCACTTATTGTGAAGGACAAAATCAAAACTGCCACCATAACTTATCAACATAGAAAACACAAAAACAGACACAAATCTGTCAGTTTTACATTCAGCCAACATTTGGCACAGACCGATCCCAAACACACTCCACGTGCAAGATCTTTGTTTTGATTAGATGGTGGCAAAATTAACTTTTTTAAGGAATACTAATAATTTTACTGATACTTTTTACTCAGGTTTAAAGTCAAATTAGGTGCTACTGTGTTTAGTTTGTTTTGTTTTTTTGCTTTTACCATAAACTACTCAAGTAGATTTTTGCAGGAAAAAGTTTTATAGATGCATATTTTATTATTGTTGCAAACTAATAAAGATATTTTAAATATTTTTTTCAAACAAGGTTGAACACAACAGAGAGAAAGAAAAGCCAAATCCATAGTCTGGTCTGTGTTTAAAATGGGACGAGCTACCTAAAGCCATATCAAGGTTTCTTTGAGTCCAATAATTCTCAGTCAGGTCATCTGGACAGTTTCTTTTTTTTATAGAGACGTTTCGCCCTCTATCCAGAGGGCTTGGATTTGATACCTGGATGATTGAGCATGAACTTTGTTGTCTTGAACCACTTTGGCTGTGGCTGCCTGGGAGGAGTCGACGGGGAACAGGACGGCCCCAGAAACCATCTTAGCTCCAGCAAACTGGTTGGTCCGCTTAAGAAGTTTACTGCTTGGTGGGGAAACAGTTTACTGGAACTCCTCAGACTGATGAAGCCCTCTGGATAGAGGGCGAAACGTTTCTATTAAAAAAAAAAAAACTGTCCAGATGACCTGACTGAGAATGATTGGATTTGATACCTGGATGATTGAGCATGAACTTTGTTTCTTTGAGTCCAGATCTTTTCCTTCATTGTGGCCTCTCGGCTTTATGCCCTGACCAGGACCCAGGCCAGACCCGTCTACCTGAAGCCCCGCTTCCCTTTGAGCTCTAATTTCACTCATCGTGGGAAGTTGTAATTAGGGCGTTGGGTTTCCAGAACGATCAGCGCGGAGCAGTTCAGTCTCTGAAGGCTCAACTCAGACCAGCAGATCCAGTGGCCGAGGGCAGGAAGAGACTTGTTGGAGGAGTCATGGTGTGGGAACGTGTTTCATCAAGACCTGATCTGACACATGGGAGGAAGAAAACCTTATAAAATAACATTTAACCGAGTTAAAAACAACAGATGTTTTGTTTTTGTACATAAGCATCGAGATTACAAACGAACACGAAAAGCATCAGACGTTCCTGTGGTTGTTTTGTGTCAATCAAAGAGCCTGAAGCTGCTGCATCTCTGTTTGGAGACAAAAACAGGAAGCAAGGCAACCGTTACCGTGCACGGTCGCAGCGTGCAACAGCGCCTCCTTGTGATGAGAAGTTGAAACACAAAAGGAGTTTTTACATTCTGGGAATAATTTACAGTGATGGTCATTAATCAGAGAACAGGGAAGTGTTCTTTACTCTGACGAAAGAAGCTCCGCTCTAATAAATGTCCGTCCAGTGTGAAGTAAAAGTCAGAGGATAAAATACAGCCAGACAAAAAAAAGAGTCTGATTTACAGTCTGCTGCCTGGACGTGTGAAAAATACACAGAGGAGCCAAAGTCAGTGGCAAAGACTGAAATAAAACAGCAATCCTCGACTGAAATAAAGCTTCTCTGAGCTTTATTTGAGTTTCTGGACAAAATGATCTCAGATAAGAGGTTCAGTTTCCCGTTAATTTGTAATATGGCAACATGGATACAGAAAAAAAATGGAAATACTTTATTTTACCAACAAAGTATTGTTTTTAGCTTTAAATTCTTTTGTGTAAGCAGAAAAAAAAGGAGAAACTTTTACTGCGACAACTGCATTATTCATATTCACAAAAGAAATAGAAACAAAAAGACACAATAATAATAATAATAAAGTAAAACTGCTTCAGTCGGTTTAGATTTTCTAAGTGGAATAACAAAAAAATAATTTAAACCACAGCAATGTGGATCAAAAAAGCATTTTTCTTAATAAATATAAAATATTTATTAAACTAAATACAGATTTTTATTGAATAATTTATCATTCTGTATCAAAGGGCTCCTGTGTTTTATAAAAGGTACATTTTTATGCTACAAATTATTTAGTGTTGAATTTGTATTTACCTTTGTATTACATTATATGTCTTTAAATGTATATTTTATATATTTATGTGTATAAATGGAATAACATGTAAACAAATTGAATATATTTGCAACACACTGTTTATGTAAAAAAGTTATTCATGTATTTATGCTTTTTAAGGTAATTTAAGAATATTTGTATTAGTTTATAATCATTTTAAGGCGTTTTGTTGTTGTTTGCTGTAAATAAAGTGAAATTAAAGGTTGAACTGTTGTGACACCAACGCAGCAGATATAAAGTGTCTGTTGTCTCTGAGATGGATGTTTGTCCTCAGCAGCTCCAGGTGAGTTTGTCTCTGGCTGCAGGTTCCCAGGTAATAAATTTAAATGTTTTAATTTATGATGGCAGCAGAAAAGGTTTAAATTGAGATCCAGAGGTTGAAAAGTTCCTTTCTGGTGAGAGTATTGAACACACGAGCCATTCGTCTCTTAGGAGAGACTCCTTCAGGTCTTTAGTTTTTCTTCTGAGTATCCTGGAGTCGACCTCTTGTTGAATTCTGCAGGAGTTTCCGGGCGATCATGACGGTCTCCTACTCTCTGGAGGTGGCCAACGTGAAGTTTTATGGTTTCTCCAGGCTCCTGTTCAGGTGGAAGGGGAGCATCTACAGGCTGCTGTACAAGGAGCTCCTGGTGTTCTGTGGGGTTTACCTGTTCTTCAGCGTGTTTTACAGGTAAATCCACACCTGGGACGATTGCACTCCTCTTTGTTTCTGTTCCTTTGACTGGATGTGTTCCCCTCCAGGGTTCTCCTCACGTCGAAGCAGCAGGATCTGTTTGAGCGAGTCTCCATTTACTGTGACCAGTTCACCAACACCAACTTCATCCCTGTTCTGTTTGTTCTGGGTACGACCCCTGACCCAAACACTTGTTGCCTTGTGTCCTGGTTCTATGCTTCCTGCTGTTTTAGCCGTTTCATTTATCAAAATGTTAAACTCATTCAGCTGATTTATTCAAAACAAACTTTTATACTTTTCAGAACAAATACTTTAGCAGTTAAACATATTTCCCATAAAATACCCTGTGATCTCTTTAATTCCTTAATTCCTTCGCTACATTGTTACTACTTCTGCTACTTTTAGCTATTGTTCTGCCACGTTTACCCTTTAGCTTTTTTATTTATATACATTTTTGATACTTTTACCTCTAAGGTAACACTTGGCTAGTTTTAACTTTAAGCTAACTTTTTTATACTTTTGCTGCTTTTAGCTAGTTTTTAGTGTTTTGGTACTTTTACCTTCTAGCCACAGTTTTGCTCATTTTAGCTACTGTGCTGATTTTTTTAATCAAGAATTTTTACTTTTAACTAGCATTTTCCTCCTTTCAGCTTCTAGCTGGTGCTCTGCCTTTTTTTTCTTTCTTTTAGCTAGTGTTTTACTTTAGATTTGAGTCGACTTTTGCTACTTTTAGCTATTTGTATGCTGCATGTAGCTAGCATTTTGCTACTTTTAGCTTGTGCTTTGTTACTTTTAGCTAATGTTTTGCTACTT